AGATTTATCTTTAACAAATAATACATCACCATCAATTTCACTATCCATTTCATTATCAGAAACTTCATCACGATTTGACAAAAACTGAATACATGAGCGACAAAATTTCCATCCTGGTTTACAGTCTAGATTTTTGGATTTAAGGTTATGAGCCATTTCAAGAGATATGGTTGTTTGACCTAAAATAAAATCATTAATTTTAAATAAACATACCCTGCTTCTAAATTTATATATATATATATATATATATATATATATATATATATATATATATATATATATATATATATATATATATATATATATATATAATATTATATTAATTTATATAATATATATATATATATATATATATATATATATATTATATTAATTTATATAATAATATATATATGAGGTAGTTGTGTAGTGGTAGACCGCTCGCTTCATAAGCGAGAGGTTCCGAGTTCGATCCCAACCACGTCCCTGGTAGTACCGCACTCCACTTGTTTCTCCGTACAGCAGCCTTATTTGTCAAGGTTTGTGTTTTGGAGTTATTGAGTCAAGAGAGGGTTATAACCACAAATAAGTAGCCTCCTCGTCTGTAGTGGCCTTCTCGGCCTTGAGTAGGTGAATTATCAAAATATATATATATATATATTACCTTTAACCTTCTTTTTGTGTCTTTTTAAAACATCGCAACACTTATTCTTTAGTAGAAATATCGGTCCAAAAACCTGCTCATGATGATAACAAATAGACTTTATCTCTTCGTATGATGTAGTCTCAAGCAAACCAGACCTCCAAATATAAGTATCTTGAAAGTCCTTTTCTAGATTACAAAAATCTTTTAATCCTTGTTTTCGAACTAAACATATTTTGTGACATTCATCTTTTAAAACTTTTCCAAACCCACAAGATTCAATTTTATCAATATACTATTATTATTTCTAAAAAAGATGCAAGAAAAATCTATGATTCATTCAATGTGTTCATGGGGTCAAAGTTGTTTAGGATTAGAAATTTAAACTTATTTAGTAAGCATTTTAACTTTAATTTTACAACCTTATAAACATTTCTAAATCATAAAACTACTAAAAAAATAGAAACAGCAATTCAACAACATCTAAAAAAACATTTCGATATAGCCAAAACTGTTTCAGCTACAGAACTGTCAAATTATCACATCTTTTTGTATAGTTTAATTTATCAAAATACCTGTTTTTTAAGCAATAAATTTAAGTAGATTTTACCATATTTTTATTTCTGTTTTAGAAAAGACCACTCTCCAATTCTTTGTAGTAACTATAGCTTAATTATTCACAACTTCTTAAAAAAAAAAAAAAAAAAATCGAGCTACATCAGCATTTTTGTGATCGGACTCGCCCCAGTAAAATTGTGGTAAACGTTCAAATTTTAGGTGTTATGCTTGTTTTAAATATTTTAAGTTGTTTCATTGGATTTGTTGGCCCAAAATATGTATAGGTACAAATTTTCAGCTTCCAACACACATATAACAGAAACTAGGACCAAAATCATTTTTAAAAATGGCGGATTTTTGTTGGTTGGAGGCAAACTTAAAATAGCTATATCTTAGGAACGGATTGAAATTAGACGATAAAATTTTCAGGATGTTCATAATTTACTAAAATCTTTAAGTGGTTTAAAAATCAGCAAAATCTTAGACTTAGGGTTGCATGCCCTGGATGTTTTCACATGGAATCTCCCTTTTATGAAGTGAAAACCATATAAAAATATTCAACAGTCAAATAACAAAAAATGCTTAAAACAATTTTTAAAATATATAAATCAAAAGATTTCTGATTTTACATGTTATATATTTATCATTAGACGTTGGTCTCGACATTTTTAAAACTAAAGCTGAGGGGGCAACTACAAGCAAAGACTTGATCATATATAAGAAAACAAACTGACTTTTTGTGGGTAATAAACACTTATACCATTACAGTTCATCTTCATTAAACTAGCTTTCTGTTAACATTTAATCAATTACTGTCAACGTTTATCAAGGAGAATAAAAAAAGGCATTATTTCCAAACATACCTAAAATAGTTTTAATAAACATACAGAAAAATGTTGGATGTAGATGAAATTGTACATAGAGTACACAAATAGAGTCCTCAGAAGTAGGGTCAGCAGTGTCAACCTAACAGCCTACCTGACAGCGTCTGAAGTTGGCATTTTTTTGCAGACCTCAGAAAAACAAAAACATTTTATTTAATTAAAAAAACATTCACTTTCATGTTGCTTATTTTAAATTAATTTGTTTATTTTTTAATTATTTTGATCATTTTATTTCAAACTTAATTAAATTCTAATTAAAATGACTAATATAAAAATCAATTAAATTCTAAATTAAATAATAAGAAAAAAAAAAACGCTTAAATGAATTTTTTAAAAACCAAATGAAAAACTAACATTCTAACAAAACAAAATAAATACTATAAAACAAATGTTTTATTTAAATTGCAAACGAAACAATTAAAATAAAAACAGAAATATGAAAATAATAATTCTAAATAAAATAATTAAAAACAAAATTGGTGAAACTAATGTTTTATTTAAAATCCTATAAAAATGGCTAACACACCCATTTTTCAAACTTCTAATTTTTAAACATTTGCATTTGCTTAAAAAATATGTTTGCTTAAATAATACAATTAAAACGTTTAAAATAAAATGGTTTCTTAAAAGAAATTATTTTTTGTTGCTTATATTCTTCAATTTGTCTTATTAAAATGAATTTTTGAATTAAATTGAATTTTTAGTTTAACATGTTTCTGAACCCAATAGAGATAAAGCTATTCTAGACTTGATTTTTAACAATGAACATGATTTGGTAAGCGATATTCACAACCTCAATACGTTGGGGGATAGTGATCATTCCATGATAACCTTCAACTAAAAATTAATTGGAATTTAAAACTTGAAGGAAGCCTAGATTATTGGTCAACATTTAAATCAATATTGCTTGACTTCAAAATAGAATCAAAATATGTTCCAAAGCGATTGGTCAACACCAATCCTAAGTACAAAAAACCCTTATGGATGACTTGTAAAGTAGCCAAAGCAATCAAAAGAAAAAGGAAAATATATTCTAAACACAAAAACAAATCTCATCCTGAGGTGGTCAGTGTAAATATAAAATGCAAACGGTTAATTAGGAAAGCAAAGATTGACTTTGAGTTTATGCTGGCACGAAATAACAAACATGATTCTAAATCATTATTTGCTTATGCTAGAAGCAAAACAAAGTCAACAGTTAAATGATGGTGTTAAAATTGATTCAGTTACTGGAATAACTGAAGAATTTAATAAGTACTTTACATCAGTTTTCACTAATGAGAATATTGACATAATACCAGAATCTGAAGGTATCCTTAATAAGTCTAATATTGGTAGGGTGAGTGGCTGCATGTTTACCAAGAATGATGTGAGGACAAAATTGTCAATTACCTTGAAATGAATCAAGCAATAGTAGACTCACAACACAGATTCAGGAAAGGAAAATCTTGTGTGACCAATTTATCATTGTTTTTGGAGCAAGTAACAGGATTTGTTGACAATGGAGATTGTGTAGATGTGATATATTTAGATTTTGCAAAAGTCTTTGATAAGGTTCCTCATAAAAGATTGGTAAAAAAGTTGTATAGTCATGCAATTGAAGACAAACTTTTTCAATGGATAAATTGTTGGTTGATTAACAGGGTTCAACGAGTAGTTTTGAATGGAAAAACTTCTTCTTTTAGGAGAGTAATTAGTGGCATACCACAAGGTTCTGTATTAGGTCCAATCCTATTTTTGATATATTCTAATGATCTGGATACCGATGTGACAAACCATATATTAAAATATGTTGACGATACTAAAATATTCTTTAAAGTTAATACCAGAAGTAATGGTTTGCATCTGCAATAAGATCTGCAAAAGCTTGTTAAGTGGTCCATTGAATGGCAAATGCAATTTAATGTTATGAAAAAAAACATTGGTTAAGAATACAGTATAAATGGGGTTATTTTAGAAGAAATTGAGACTGAAAAAGACCTTGGGGTTGTAATATCAAATGATTTGAAAGCATCTAACCAGTGTATGAGGGCTTATGACAATGCAAACAAGATTCTAGGAATGATAAATCGCACAATTGCCTATAAACAATCTGAAACTACATAAACCATTAGTTCGTCCACACATAGAATATTGTAAATCTGTTTTATCACCTTTTTATGTCAAAGATAAAGAACTAATTAAAAAAATACAACATCGTTTCAGTAAAATGATAATAGAAGTGGAACATCTATTGTATGCAGAAAGCTTAAACTAGAAATACTTAAACTAGGTCTATGGACACTTGAGAAACAGATCGGATTTAATAGAAGATGTTGCATGGGCTTTCTACTATTTCATACAAAATTTTTTTTGAATTAGCTACAAACAAAAGAACAATAGGTCACCCACTTACATTGGTTAAACATAGATTCACAACTATGGTCAGACAATATTTCTTCTCAGAACGTGAAGTCAACCGATGGAACTTACTTGATAACGATACTGTAACAGTCAGTTCCCTAAATTGTTTCAAACCAAAACTTAATAAGTTACGCACAACAAGGATGAGGTTCTTTATGGACTAATGTCTACATAGCTCAATTGGTCATAATTGGGTTGCTTAGCAACACTGGTATGGCCATACCAAGTAAATAACCTATTGGGGTATTACGAGGTAAAATGGGATATTACTGTTATATTTTTATTTAATATCTCAAGATTACTATTATTTTTTAAGCCTAATTTTAAATTCATTAATTTTTAGCTAAATAAATACATAAATTAAAAAACTATGTGATGTCATGCTATTGATTAAAAAAGATAAAAAGTAATTATGCGATATTGTACCACAGATTAAAAAAAATGGCACAATAAAAATAAAAATAAAAATTAACTGTAACTAAAAACTTTTTGAACTTTAGGAATAGGAAAAAAAAAAAAAAAAAGTAACAAACCTGTAACATTAATATAAACTTTTTTTAATTCAACATAAGTTTCATAGATACTTCCACCAGTTGTAACAACATCTTCAACAATTAAGCAATTTTGGCCATTCTTAAACTCTCCTTCGATAATTTGTTTGGTACCATAGTCTTTGGCTTCACGCCTACGAACAACCAAGGGAACATCATGATCAACTGATACACATGTAGCAATAGGTAAGGCTGTGTATGGAACACCACATATCAGTTCAGTTTTAATATCTAGAAGAAATTACACCTATAAATGAAGGACAACAAGAATTTGATTCTGTGCTTTTTAGGAATCAAAAAGATATGTAGCTTTTTTTTTTTTTTGCTTTCTCTATTGAGGCCTTGTAAAACAGATATTTAAAAAAATGTGAATCACAATTATTAAATAGTGATATATAAAATAAAGCATGTCATTATTTAAACTTTAAATTAATCTGGTCTCAGAATACTATAATAAACAGTATATGGAGAGAAATAAAAACACATTTGTAAACTTAACTTATGTAATCACAAGAAAATGTCAAAAAAAAAAAAAAGAAAAATAATAAAAGAATTTATTAGAATTTGGAGGAATATTATAAATTTATTAATGGATTTTAAATTTCGGTGGTTATGATGAGTGACAGGGGTAGGTAAAGGTTAGTGTAGAAAAGAACAGTATGTGAGGTTGTACTTGAAAGTTTAAGAGGTGAGGTTCAATGGGAAAGGACAAAGCTCTTCTTTACCAGTACAAGGGTACGGAAAAGTGATGTAAGTTCCCCAATCAGGTTACTAAGTGATCTTTGGTGATGATAAAAATCACAATTAATGTCCATGTTCATTAGCTTTAAATGCAATGTAACATAATACAAATACAAAAAAAAACTACTTTTTATTTTAAAAATAACAAATAGTAAAAAAATAAAATTAAAATTAAAGTTAAGTTAAAATTAAAATTAAGTTAAAATTAAATTAACAAGTTATTAGTATATGTTAAATAATATACAAAACACATTTGATAAATAAGGCAGTACATCACATTAAGTTAATGATAATATAAAATAACAAAAAAAATAACAACAACAATAACAATATTGAGAGAGATTAAGAATATTAAAAAAAGGTTATTTAAAAACAACAGTCAAAATTAAAGTTAATAAACAGAAATATAAAATTCACCAAAATAAACCACACATCTCACTTTTAGTACATTTTTTTAAAGTATGTGCTAAAAAAGAAACACTAACACTCCATATGAAATCATACAGACCATGACACCCTTACATCTCAGAATTTGTTCATTTTTACCTCACTTGCAGTCCATATAAAAAAAATAATAACTGTGAAAATTTTAGTTAAAAACACACATGGGTTTTCACAAAAAGTGAAAATACAAAAAAAAAAAAATATTTTCGCTTTTTTTCACAATTTTAAAAACTTTTTAATGTATGAAATAAATATTACAGAGACTGACTCTTATCGCCATAAGGTGCAAATGCCATAAGGATTTATTTACAAAACTTAGAAAGATATAACTAGATATATCAAAGAAAATCTACATGGTGTATCAAGTGTGAAATACTTTGCCAGTGGTTGAACAGTTATCAATCTTTGTCATCACAGTAAAGACTTTGATTTAAATGCTGAATGGATATTTTTTGCTACCAGTCATGGTAAATCCCCCTGTGATGGTATTGATGGGACTGATAATTGGAATTTATTTTAAATTATTTTTCAATGATGAAATCAATCAAACACAAGCACAATTAGAAATAGAAAATTTAGGCGGAAGAACAGTTCATGGTACAAGGATTTATCATTGTTTTATTCCAATTGCTTCAAACACTATAAGTTATAAAAAAATAAGCATTGATACTTGTATTCAAATATTAGATATCATTCCAAAAAAAAAAACATAATAAAGAGATTTCATTAAACAATAAAAAAATGGATTATATTGTATGTTTTTATAATGATTATATTGTATGTTTTTATGGGTAGGGATTGCTGAAGATGTAAGTGAGCTTGATATAAGTCAGATTCATGCATCCCCATGGACCTGGTAGAAACTTCTTTTGGCCAATGAGACATGAGGAGTGTTCGGAGCTTAATTCTAAAGCTATATGCCTACACCCACAACAATATCAGGTCATACATATAACATATCTGATTTAGATTTGGAGAATATAAGCAATTGATTACAAAAAAATAATTAAATACATTAAAAATAATTTTGCTGTAATTTTATTAACCTATTTTGCATTTAGAACTTGTCTTTCTTTTTTTTTTTTTTTCAAATCCTTGGATGGAAGGGGGTTTAAATAAATCCCAGTATCCACCTTATTATGTCAACAACTATATTAGTCTTAAACTATTAAATAGTACCATAAAGATATTGAATGTTAAAATGTTTTAAATAACACTTCAATATCTTTGGTTTTAAAATTTGCGATTTTTAAAATCATGAAATGATCTCAGTTTTAAGTGCATACTTTGAAATAAGAAGTAATTATTGATTTGAAATAATGAAAATAAATTGTTTCTCAAACTTAAATTTAAAAAAAAAATGTTTTTAAATTGAATTTTAACAACTATTTATTATTAATTCATTTTAAGTATAAAAAAAAAAATCAAAAAAAAAAAAAAAAAATCCAGGGAAAATAGAAGGGGGAGAAGTTGTTTAGAGGCCCCCTGGCCCTCCCTTGCCCATGACTATAAATGTTCTAAACTAGTCAATAAATAACACTAACTGATGTTTTATTCAAATGAATGTTTTAAAAAATATTTCAATTGCTTTCGTTACAAAATTTAAATTTTTCTAAAAAGAGTTTAAGTATTAGATCAAGTATTAGAGAGACAATTGATGAATCTAATTTTTTTCAGTAGACCCAAGATAAAATAATAATATACAATTAAACTTTTTTGGACCAGTCTTCATTTTACTTCCAAAAATCATGAATTTACAAGTCAATAATTTTGAAAAAAAATTGAATGAGGCATTTCCTGAAACAATCGAGTCTTTAGGTTTCTACTTTTGGATTCCTTAAGTAAAAATCTATTGGGGTACCAAATTTTAGGAAATTTCTTCAAGCCATTGCGAAGATACTATATGTCAAAGTTGCTTTGTAGTCACTTCAGATATTCACTCAATGCTGAGTCAGCATTATTTCAACTGAGAATATCTCTGGAACCCATGTGTATTTTTAACTAAAATTTTCACAGTTATTATTATTTTTAATATGGATTGCAAGGGAGGTAAAATAAACAAATTCTTAGACGTGAGGGTGTCAAAAATGTTTTTTTTTTGGTGATTTCCTATGGAATTACTCAACAATAAACCTGAAATACAAAACATTTTAAAATATATTATAAAATAAAAAGTAAGTTAAAATAACTATATTTTGTGAAACAAGATATTTAAACTGCCAATTGTAATCGTGTATAAAGTTACCAAACTACTAAAACATAATTTTATCAAAAACATCACATGCTTGGCTCTAACACCACTGATCCTGCTGGCACTAAATCCTTTAACTTCTGCGTTTCTCAATCTCTTACTCAGATAGTTAACTTTGTGACTCGTTTTCCTGACAACCATAATCATTTACCTTCACTCCTTGACTTATGTCTTGTCTCTGACCCTAGCTCCCTTCTCCCTTAGGTGGTTCTGACCATGCAATGATCTCTATAAATCTTTCTTCTCGTACTTCTTTTTTGGGCTCACCTTATCATCGCACCACCTACTACTACCCTAAAGCTGACTGGGATTCTTTTCATGATTTTCTTTGTGATGGTCCTTGGGCTGATGTTTTTTTTCTCTCAGCTGACAAATGCACCTCCTACATAACCTCCTGGATTCAGGCTGGAATGGAAGCTTTTATTCCTTCTCGTCGGTTTCAAGTCAAGCCTCATTCTACTCCATGGTTTTCTCCTTCTTGTGCGGCTGCTATATCCAATTGTAATCATTTTTTTTATTTTTTTCAAAAGAACAACTCTCTTGAGAACAAACAGCTATTTATTATTGCAAGAAATCGATGTAAAAAGGTGCTTTCTGATGCTAAACTCCATTATTCTCAGTTCACTAAATCTCGCATCTTATTACAGAAGTTAGGCTCCAAAGACTTTTCGAAAATCCTGTCACAGTCTTGCAGAATTGTTCTCCAGAACTTTCTTCAATTCTCTCTAAACTATTTAACAAGTGTTTGACTGAGTCTTGTTTTCCTGCTTGTTGGAAAATGGCATCTGTGGTTCCAATATTCAAAAACTCTGGAGAAAATTATCATACGATCAGTCTTCTTTCTGTTACTAGCAAGGTCTTTGAGTCTTTGATCGACAAATTCCTCACATCTCATTTTGAGTCAAATAAACTACTGTCAGACAATCAATACGGTTTTCGATCCTCTCACTCTACGGCCGACTTGCTAACTGCTGTAACTGAAAGATTTTATCGTGCATTAGATGGAGGCAATGAGGCTAGGGCTATTGCTCTCGACATATCTAAAGCTTTCGACAAAGTTTGGCATGCTGGTCTTCTCCATAAGCTTGCTTCATATGGTGTTTCTGGGAAAGTTTTTGAGATTATTAAATCATTTCTTTCTAACCGGTTTATTAAAGTCATCCTTGAAGGCCAACACTCTTCTTTATTTCCAGTAACTTCTGGGGTTCCCCAAGGTTCCATCCTGGGCCCTGTTTTGTTTCTTATCTACATAAACGTTCTTCCTGACAACCTTTCATCTAAAGTAGCTCTTTTTGCTGATCACTCAACTTTTTACTCCTGTCTTGACAAAAAGTCTTCTCTTTTCAATCGCCTAGAACAAGCAGCTGATCTTGAATCCAATCTCACTTCAGTAATAGATTGGGATTCACAGTGGCTTGTGAATTTCAACTCTAACAAAACCCAGTTGTTTACTGCAAACAACTACCGTAATATGGTCAACAATCCTATATTAATGAATGGCAATCCTCTTACTGAGTCCTCCTCTTTACATCTTCTTGGATTATCTTTACTACTGACCTTTCATGGAAACCATATATACAATCGATTGCTAAATTAGCTTCTGCTAAGGTTGCTTCTCTTTATCGTGCTCGCCATTTCCTTACATCTGATTCCATTCTTTACCTCTACAAATCTCTTATTTGTCCCTGTATGGAATATTGTCATATTTGGGCTGACCTCTCAGTAACCTGTTATGGAGAAGATAAGTGGAAATGGTATATCTGATACACTAGATAAACTTAAAGTGCAAACAAATCATAAGTTTTTAACCTTTCTCTGATCTAATACTTGCTATACTTTTTAACTGTATGTTGGGAGAGGACACCTATGGTCATATTATTATTTTTATCCATCTTAAAATAGATTAAAATTTATTGTTAGGAGCATTTATTTCTTTTAATGTTTCAAATGGTTTACAAAAGGCTTAAATCAGAATTGAGCTTTTTTGCATTCTGTTAGTATATGAGTATAATTTTGTATTGTATTTTAATTATTACTTGCTATCTTTAGTTCAAATGATCTTCTTGTAGTTGATGAGTTTTTTTTATAAATGCATTGTGCGTTGCTTGTTCAGAAGTTCTAGAAGGTTTTGTGAAAATTTATTGATTTTTTTTTTTTTTTTATGAAAGCAATTTTTTTTTACTGCAAGTGAAAAGACTATTTTATCTATGTTTTTATTTTATTTTTTTAAATTTTTTACAAAAAAAATTTGAAAAAAAGATAACCAGTAAACTCTGGCTTTTGACTTCTTTGTTTTTGTTTTTTTTTTGCTAATAATGCCATGTTGAAAAACATTACCTTGATGTAGAGTCTCTTACAGTACAATAACAATATATATCATATAATTCTGTGTATAAACATGTATAAAAACAGTGAAATTAAAAAGATTTATTTGGTTAGTATATGTAATGGAGAATACTAATTTGTCAGTCTGACAAACTGATTTAAAAAACATTAATCTATCTGATATTTAAACATTTCATAAAATTGTTTTGGCAAATAATATTAGATCATGTTGGAACAGAACAATTCTTATAACAGTTTGAAATTTGAAAAGCTTAGACATCTTTTAAAAAATTATTTCATTTGAATGTAATTCGGTTGTTGAGTTGATTTCTCTTCATTATTGTTCACAATTGTTTCCACTGTAAACTTGTAATGTATTTAGTTTTACTAAATACATTAGAAGTTCTTTTGCTAAAACATGGATTTTAACACGATTTCAATATTTCTAGTTAATAAAGGAATGTTAATAACCACCTATCAATTTATAACGTGATATATTTTATTTAATAAAAGTTATACCACTGCTTATATTGCATAAAAAGTGATAGAAATTTCATTATGTAAAATCATTTAGTATACTTCATTATAGAATCTATCTGATTTTTAAATAACTAACGCATTCATAACATTGCTACTAACAGCAAGTTAAAAATCCACTTACCATTTTTTACAACTACCTCCCAAATAAGGTTACTAATATCACGAAGTAACTTCGGGTAACTGATTATTACTCTAAAGTTAATGTAAATAGGAGAAAAAATGCCTGATTTCAGTTTAAATTTGCCAAACCTAATTGCGTTTATTTCAAACAATTGTCTTATAAGAGATTCGTGATTAATCATTTTTGTTTAAGTAGTATTTTACACCTTACACAGTAAACAGGTAACACGCGCTTTAAACACAAGTCGTGTGCATGTCACAAAAAATGTTTACGATCATAATTATGTTAAATATTCCGATGATGCAAAGATTGAAAATGAAGTAAGTTTTTAAAATATCTTGGGACGAAACTACTAATTGTAATAATAAATATATATTTTTTTTTTCTTACTGTCTTTCTGAATATCTTAACTCAATATATATACATTCGCAAATACCTCCGAGGGTATAATAAACAGTATAAACGTTATATACAATATAATATACGACGCGCCCACAACATTCCTTCTGACGCAACACATTAATAGTTTATATATAATACAATTATTTACACTAATTACAATACCCCTTGATCTTTTGATCACAAAGTCCGCATCCTTATTCGGAAACTTCCGCACACGCGTCGATCTTCAAAGATTCAGGTTGTTCGCGATGGGTTCTTCAAGTTCTCTCGTAGACAAGTCAGCTACAATGGGAGATGGACGGACGTCCGACATGTGTTTCGGCAAGCCATTGATTTCTACCGAAACTCCTCGTCCTTCATCTGAGACTCTTCCTCAATTCCATTCGCTAGCTTCCTCCAAATTGCAAACTTGCTCCTTTTGCCACAGTCAATGATAGACAAATAAATCTCTGATTTATAATGGGTAACATCAATAGTTAAACGGTACCAGCTCCCTCCAACTTCAAGATTTCCTTCTTCCCACCTAATTAGCGCTGGATCCACTGATAAAAATCTTTCGCAACTTTTTACGACTGATTCAACGTCTTTTTTACAAACTTTCTGGCAATTTAGAATCCAAGCTATATTTTTTCAAGAGTTCTTGAACTCTGCAACTTGACACTATGTTATTATTGACAATGATGTCATCAATAAATGAATCCGTCCCAGACTCGACAACTTTGTCTCAGGATAATAACTTTTTAAAGATTTTTGTCATTATTCTGGCCGCCACTTTTAAACCAAAACCCAATCTTGTTAGTCAGTATCGCTGCCCTTCATATTCCACAACTTTATATTTTCATAATGCTTCGTCGATACGAATCTCCATCAACGAAATGATGCCATTACATTTCCCTTCAAACGGTTTCAGCCATCTCTGTGCTATCCATTCACATATTTCCATTGCGTACTCACTTTTAACGACTTCAGAGATATGATAGTTTGGAATTTTGTTTGTTAAAGTTGGTGGTTTCATCAGCCATTTTCAAGATACGCTCCAACTGCCATTTTTGAATTCTGCTACGAAGTCTTTATCAATCAGCTTTTGAATAGTAGGCGAGGATACTTTTTGTTAATGTTAATCCATCCTGAACGATTGTAAATCTATTGGCAAATTATACCAAAGAAATGTTTAAACTAAAAAAAAAAAACTTAAAAACTAAAACATAAAAAAAGTCATTTTTTTACTTTTTATTTTTTGTTTTACTTTTTTTTTCTGCTTTCAAGTCAAAAAGCAATAATAATATAATAAAGTGTTTTATATCTATAATATATATTTTAACATATTTGTCATTATTTATCTCATTATTACATATAAAGTTGAAAATTTCCGATTATTTGTTTGCGACTATTCTATAGTGTTGTTTGATCAGAAGAGAAAAAAAAAGCCCTACATACAAATTACTTGAAATAATTGCACATATTAGTACTTCAAAAGAAGCATTTAAGAAAACTAGTACTTGGTCAACAAACGTTATTATAAATTATCTTAATATTTAGACTTAAAATGTGACATTTAAATATTACATAAATTTTTTTAACAGCCCTCAATCAGCAACTAAACAAAGTTGGTAAAACTTGGAAAAAAACCAACAAAATTTAAACAAAAGTCTTTTTGTGGAAAACTGTTGGCAAGGAGTCATTATACAGCTACACATCTTCTTCGTAAATTTAAAATCCAGTCTAAATCTTTAATTGAATGCAGTCAAAACAATATCAGGATTAGAGCCTTTAACTTTAAAGAAGAAAGCACCTTTGTAATTATTGGCATTTATCTTGGAAAATAATAGTTCAAAACATCTTAATAACAGTATAATAAAATGCTAAAACTCAAATGCTAATATCTGGCCAAATTACAACCTGTAATTAAAATTGAATATTTATACGCCAATAATTATCCTAAATTTAACCTCGTAATTGAAACTATAAATCTTTATAGCTATTTGTTATGAATATCTTCTTAATTAATCAATCCTAATTAACTAATCATTTGAACTTTTTATTGGTTCTTCTAACTAAGTCTCAGTCTCTTCTTATAAAGTCTAAATGAGACCAAAAACAATTGAAAGCACTTTATTTGCATACGTCTCATTATAAATTCTTCTTGAACACGTTGTCCGAAGAAAAATATATTCAAACCATAAGTCATGAGTTTAGTAAAAAAACTAAATTTTGTGTTTAAATGTGTTAACTTTTGAAGCATCATTACTTAAAAAAACAAAAGCAAGATTAAAAATATTTCTACACACTGCTAGAAGAGCAAATATGAAGTTTATAAAGCAAGGTAACAATTAACAGAAGACTTAAAAGATTTCAAATTATATGAATCAGGAAAACAGGATAAAGAGAGCCGATTCCAAAGAACGGATTTTTGAGGAAAAAATTTAGAAGAAAAAGAACCTTTGGAGCACTAAGAAACAGTCAAATATACATATATTTCATATTTTTATTTAATTCTATAAATCTTTATTTAAAATTAATTAGCATTACAAATAATGAATTGTACAACTTTATCTATTATTAAATAATGAGTAAAAATGGGCTAAGAACGCGGTAAAATGGACTGATCATTTATGTGTTGATAAGGCAGCAGAGCTGCTAATGTTTCTTGGAAAGTAGAGGTTGCTGACACCATCACAAAGAATTTGTAGGTGTTTGAATAAAAAATTGAATAAAGGATTGCTGATAGGTAGTAGTGGTTGCGGTATTTAGAGCGAATGGGAATCTGTTGGGGTTTCTACGATTAGTGCGAAATAATTTAGTGGTTATCGGATGGTTTGTGTCAGCAAAGATCTTTTTGAGGATATTAATACAGGTCTTCTCTAATGATTCTTCAATGTCAAAAAAAAAAATAATGAAACGGCTTGAGTTTGTTGCATCAACTCCGATGATGTGTAAGGCATTTTTGTGGAAATGTTGTATCTCTTTTTTTGCCGCAAAAATGCAAGAGGCAAGAACTGAGGCAATATATATCATGTGGCTAATAGCGTAAGATCTGTAGACTTTTAAAAGGCTGGTCTGAGTATCTCCAATTTGCTTAAGGCGCTTGAGTAGAAATGGCACTGATTTTATAGTGTTGTGCACTTTTATCCATTGTTCATCACAATCAAGAATAATAGCGTCCATTCTACTACGGCCTGGAATGAAACCAAACTGTTTGTTTGAGACCCAGATGTGATATATATATATATATATATATATATATATATATATATATATATATATATATATATATATATATATATATATATATATAAATATATATATATATATATATTTATATATATATACATAATGATGCGAAGCTTCATAATTTCGAATCAAATCGAATCAAAAAAATGATTTGAGATTCCCTTCGAAAATTTTCAAAAATCGAATCCTAACTTATTTCGTTTTTGATGTGGGTGTTTTAGATAGAACTTAAAAAAACCAAAAACTATCGGAATGACGTTACTTATCCTTAAATACCTTTTTAATCAGTCATCAAAAAGGTTAAAAAGGGCAAAAAGTATCGATAAAGAGATTATACAATTTTTTCATTTTATTTTATTTTGAAATATGTATTATTAAATAAAAATGCTTAAATTTAGACTTTAAAATGTCGATTCGAAACGTAATTCGAATCGCGAATCTAGACCTGCTTTGATTCGAGATTCGAATCGAAACAAAAACTGCCGATTCGCAGGGCCCTGATATATATATATATATATATATATATATATATATATATATATATATATATATATATATATATATATATATATATATATAAATATATATATATATATATATATATATATATATATATATATATATATATATATATATATATATATATATATATATATATATATATTTTTGGTAATATTAAGACCCCGGTAAATTTTCCAAATAAAGTTATGGGGGAAATACATTGTTTAATTCCTAATAATTAATCTTCACTGAATCAGTAAATAATAGAATAACTGTGTAGCTTCCCAATTTGAAAAATATATAATTTTTGACGGCGTCCAATGCCATAACCGAAATTGTAAAATATGTTCTAGAACCGAATTGTTTAAAAACTGCTTAGAATCAAAAAAGATTTATTTAATTTCTGGAATCGAATTTATTGAACATAGAATAAGATGATCGACTATCATTAAATGCTTAATGAAACTAAAAACTGAATTACTTTTCACAGGCGATTAATTTAGCATCGAATTTTTTTACAATTTTAATTTTAATGCAGTTGAAAGACGGAATAATTTTTTCAAACTGATTTTTGTACTAAAGATTAACGTGTACATGATCCTGCAAAAAAAGGTTTTTATTATTTTCGAAAGTTATATATATTTTTTTTTTTTGCAAAATTTTATGTAAACATAAAAAATCCAACGAATAAATGTGAAAATATATCAAGCTTTGTTTATATATTTTCACATTTATTCTAATCATCACAGTGTCATTGCTGTTAAAGAAAAAATGAAAAAGTTTGTTCCGTATAACTAAATGGATTAGATGCTCCAAAAATCTCCTGAGATTTTTTTTTGTTCATGGCCTACGTTATCGTACTAACAACGTGTCTGAACCCTTACACTTCGAGTTTAATCACAATTTCATTAAATTTACAAGCTAAAATAAAAAATATATAAACAATTATAAGTGAAGATATTTAATATATATATAAAAAGAACGCAGAAACTCGTTCTTTTTATATATATATTTAAAAGTTAAATATTTTACGTAGTAAATAAAAACGTTTTATGCAATAATAAAAAAATAACAAGGTTTAAATTAAAAAAACTACAAAAAAGTAAAAAG